AACAACATAAAATTTACGGTAAAAATCACTTTTGTGTTGCCATAAGCTTCTCTTTATCTCCTCTCTGTAGATCAAGAAGCGCTCTAGTGACATCGTCGGTGGTGCCGGTGGTGTCGATATTGCCCTCTAGATCTGGGCGGGGGACTGGACTTTCCGTTTGAGTTGGACTTCTTGGACGAGAGTGGTTGGCTGCAATGTCCTCTAGAAGATTATCAATTGTAGCTCCAGCATCAGTCCACTCTGCTGTTGTCTGGGCTCTTTTTGAGACGACGAACTACGACGCGTCTTCGTCTTCGCTGTGGTCTGCATTGAGGCAAACTTTGAAGGTTGAATCGCCAGCCATTTTTATCCCTGTGCTTTGGAGTCGGTGTGCTTGGGAGTCGGTTGATTTAGAGCTAGGGTTTTGAAATGGGTTTATGTAGACGGTTCGCTTGGACAAAAGAGAGATGAAATGGTATGAACAACGAGGTATGGTAGGTTAACAGGAGGCGGTTAAATCGAAGTGTATTTTGGGCAGTTCGTGTGAGTTTTAAATGGTGTATCACGTGGGGGCGCGTTTTGGGGGGCAAGGGAAAATCGCGGTGCTTTTTGGGGGCAAGATGCGTGTTGAAAAGTCTTGGGGGGGCACGTTTTGACGCGTTTTGAGGGCTCGAGGCATGTTTCCCTAATTTTTATCTAATAATATGGGCATGTTGGCAGGTAAAGCAACATACATTTGCAGAATTCATGTAATTTTAAACTCATAATACCCAGGAGTTCGTTAGTTTTCAATATATATATCGACTACCATATAACGGATACCGCTCTGACATGGAAGGTTCACGAAACCCACACACTCTACGAGCATAATTCTTCCCATGAAAGTAACTACTATAAATATCGATGATATTTATACAGGAAACGCTAGCAAGGCTCACGCAGCTATTTACAGAGTCTGATGACGACCATCGCCTACAAAGTCCAACCAAAGCGAGCAGCGTCGCTACACTGCTACATCACAAACTCACCAACATTAAGGAAAGTTATTCTCAAACTATACTCCACACACTTCTAACTCGCATAACCCCTTCGATCGATGCATCTTAATGGGGTGGCCTAGGATGCTGCTTGTCCCATGTTTCCAGATCGACGGTATGATGTCCTTCTGTGCCGGTTGATGGGTAATCAGAGCCAGCGGGTTCTGCGCCATAATCGTCATCGCTGGTATCAGATACAGGAGCTTGTTGAAGGTGTCTCATGATGTCCATTGATCCCAACCCCATAGAAGAAGCTACTAGCTTTCTGTGCTCTGTATTTTCAGCCAAGAGAAAATTGTCTCGGCCCCAAATTTTCGCCGGTACCGTTAGAACGAACAACAGAAGAAGGGAAAGACCGAAAGGCTTCATTACCTAAATCTTTGCAATGCCAGCTTAAGGGAGAGGTAATGAAGAATCGCGGTCGCTGACCTTTTTATAGTAAGATTTCTGGTGGATGTAAGAATAATGCAAGTAACAGTAATGAGAGGATATTTAGTGGATCAACATGCTGAAAATGATTAAAGATTTCTAAGTGCAGGAGCAATATCGGGAGCAGTGCAGTCACTAAGTAAAGAGTTAAGCAAAGTGGGAATGAAAATTCAACTATAAAACTCATTGAAAGTGCTCCGGTTAGCAAGAAGGCGTTGATTCCACTTGGTTAATGCGCTGATCTTGATCTTATCAGCTCCTTGTTAGTCGACAGCAAGTCATTGTTACAGTCTTCATAAGCTTAAATTAATAATGCAATTATTTCATGTTGCAACTGGTTCGGTTTAATGTATATTTCCCTTGCTTTTCATCATGAGGCTAGCTCGCTCAGATTTTTCTGTTGCCCGTTCCCAAAAAGTTGTAGACTTGCAAAGGACAAATCTGGATGCAGCAAACTGTTTAAGGAGCGCATCCTGTCTGTTACCTGCTAAAAAAAATATCAGTTGCCTTAAATAGCAGACCCCCATGAAGGAAAATCTGGACCCAGTTAAAGATCAAATGAGAATGGTATGCATAACGATTCTATATTCCACCATAATCATCAGCAAATGAAGTAAAACAGTAAAATATAGTGTCATTCAGCACTAGACCTTCTCAAGATAAGAAAAATAAATTAATTTAGTGTCAATGAAAACGACATCGAAAATAACTGCCACTGCGAAGCCTAAACATTTTGCTTGTGCTTCGCTTTATACAGCTCTCTGAGTGCCCCTGCCTACCTCCCCCCATTGTCTTTGTGCAGACATTTTGTTGCCTGTAACTAGCAGTGTTGATGCAATTGTGAAACAAAACTACGACTACGAAAACCTTTATCCCGTACTTCTAGAAAGCCTACATAGTTTTGTTCTGAGGAAAATGTGAAAATCCTAAACAAAACTGGCAACTGATTGCTTATGAACCACAGGCCAGACACTATATCAGATGCAATCGTAACATATTACCCAACTGAGAACTATCAGCTTGCAGACAACACATTAGGAATATGATATGACACAAACATTGATCGGAATTGAACACATTGCGGAAACCTGAGACTTCCTCCCTAGCCCTTATCGAACATGTAGCAAATGAAAAATCACCAGTTATTACATTATGGAAATAACGGAATTTTAAATAGATCAATAGGTACACGTATGCAGAACAATTCTTGCAACCTCGATCATTGATTTCACATAATAATACCATAAGTTCATATCAACCATCAGAGAGGACCCTACTTTTAACATATTCTGCCATTTTTTTGCTGCAAGGCCATATTAGTAATCATCCATTACGCATTAGCCTACCAGAACTTATAAACATTAAATGTAGACTTCCAAGCTCTACAATTATGATTGCAGCACAAGATTTCCATAATGAATCGAAGCTAGAACAATATTTGATCTTTTTATCAAAGAATCAAAAGGTGACATACAATTGTGTATGGTGGCCAATAAATTAAAAGAAAAAATGTATGATACATGGTCCCGAATATATTTTTGAGGTTAGATGTATCTGTACAAGCAATGCCAACATACTACTGGCAGCGGTTACAAAAGCTGCCACCATATATATCCATGATGCTGTAAAAGTAAAACTCTTCTAATCTGTGCCTCTTAGTCACACGATCATCTGGTATAAAGAGTAAAGATAGCCAATATCTGGAAATTCTGAGCACTGAAAAAGATTTTGTCCAATGTTCATAAGCCCGAAAGGAGTGATTTCAATGTTTCATAAGTCATGAAGACAATGCCAACACTAGGAACAACTTTGTAATACTCAGGCAAGATACCCCTATACAAGCCACCAAAACCTTCGGATCGAATTATGTGCCTAAATGTCCCAAACAAGCCTGATTTGTAGACACAGACTCTACCTGCTGCTCCTTCCAATTGCATCCGCCGCCTCACAAGATCTAATGGGAAAGTCACTGCAACATAAATCAGGTAGGTCAGAAATACAATCTTAGCTGACCATTTTAACTACAAAATTTGGAAATATGCCCTTTTACTGTGGTCCATTCTAAGTTTTCTACGGCAAAGGGGAAAATCACAGGACACAGCAATATAACCAATCGAATATTCGGTGGCATGGTACTTCTATGGTAGCCTCAGGTCGCAGCAAAATAGTATAGTATAGTACATTTACAGTGTAATTATTATCCTCATCCTGATGCCTAATTGAAAAACCCATGCTCACAAGCATTATAGGAAAAAGAAAGAAGAGAACTCACTGGAGGATTTTCCATAGCACACAAACCTATAAGACGAATGACTTAATGTAGGGTTTTTTTTATCTTGTATGTTTCTCAACTGCCTAATGCATTGATGAGATTCACTTTGGAAGCTTCTGGGACACATTAACACATACTTGGACAAACTTCTACTTGAAAGACATGACACACTTGAGAAACTTATGTCATGTAGAAAACTTTTAAAAGGTTTATAAGAATGTCCTGAGAAAATCTCAGAGAAAAAGATAACCAATATAGGGGTGGAAACTTTTACAATACCTTATGTTTGCATCTATGCTGGAAAATGAAGTCAAACAATGCAAAAAAATTACAAAAACAATACTACATAAATGATAAATATTGTATATCAAAGTTATTAATAGTCCCACTATGGTTCTGGTCTCATTAACACTTCTGATTCTATGATTGGAATGGTATGCATAACGATTCTATATTCCACCATAATCATCAGCAAATGAAGTAAAACAGTAAAATATAGTGTCATTCAGCACTAGACCTTCTCAAGATAAGAAAAATAAATTAATTTAGTGTCAATGAAAACGACATCGAAAATAACTGCCACTGCGAAGCCTAAACATTTTGCTTGTGCTTCGCTTTATACAGCTCTCTGAGTGCCCCTGCCTACCTCCCCCCATTGTCTTTGTGCAGACATTTTGTTGCCTGTAACTAGCAGTGTTGATGCAATTGTGAAACAAAACTACGACTACGAAAACCTTTATCCCGTACTTCTAGAAAGCCTACATAGTTTTGTTCTGAGGAAAATGTGAAAATCCTAAACAAAATTGGCAACTGATTGCTTATGAACCACAGGCCAGACACTATATCAGATGCAATCGTAACATATTACCCAACTGAGAACTATCAGCTTGCAGACAACACATTAGGAATATGATATGACACAAACATTGATCGGAATTGAACACATTGCGGAAACCTGAGACTTCCTCCCTAGCCCTTATCGAACATGTAGCAAATGAAAAATCACCAGTTATTACATTATGGAAATAACGGAATTTTAAATAGATCAATAGGTACACGTATGCAGAACAATTCTTGCAACCTCGATCATTGATTTCACATAATAATACCATAAGTTCATATCAACCATCAGAGAGGACCCTACTTTTAACATATTCTGCCATTTTTTTGCTGCAAGGCCATATTAGTAATCATCCATTACGCATTAGCCTACCAGAACTTATAAACATTAAATGTAGACTTCCAAGCTCTACAATTATGATTGCAGCACAAGATTTCCATAATGAATCGAAGCTAGAACAATATTTGATCTTTTTATCAAAGAATCAAAAGGTGACATACAATTGTGTATGGTGGCCAATAAATTAAAAGAAAAAATGTATGATACATGGTCCCGAATATATTTTTGAGGTTAGATGTATCTGTACAAGCAATGCCAACATACTACTGGCAGCGGTTACAAAAGCTGCCACCATATATATCCATGATGCTGTAAAAGTAAAACTCTTCTAATCTGTGCCTCTTAGTCACACGATCATCTGGTATAAAGAGTAAAGATAGCCAATATCTGGAAATTCTGAGCACTGAAAAAGATTTTGTCCAATGTTCATAAGCCCGAAAGGAGTGATTTCAATGTTTCATAAGTCATGAAGACAATGCCAACACTAGGAACAACTTTGTAATACTCAGGCAAGATACCCCTATACAAGCCACCAAAACCTTCGGATCGAATTATGTGCCTAAATGTCCCAAACAAGCCTGATTTGTAGACACAGACTCTACCTGCTGCTCCTTCCAATTGCATCCGCCGCCTCACAAGATCTAATGGGAAAGTCACTGCAACATAAATCAGGTAGGTCAGAAATACAATCTTAGCTGACCATTTTAACTACAAAATTTGGAAATATGCCCTTTTACTGTGGTCCATTCTAAGTTTTCTACGGCAAAGGGGAAAATCACAGGACACAGCAATATAACCAATCGAATATTCGGTGGCATGGTACTTCTATGGTATCCTCAGGTCGCAGCAAAATAGTATAGTATAGTACATTTACAGTGTAATTATTATCCTCATCCTGATGCCTAATTGAAAAACCCATGCTCACAAGCATTATAGGAAAAAGAAAGAAGAGAACTCACTGGAGGATTTTCCATAGCACACAAACCTATAAGACGAATGACTTAATGTAGGGTTTTTTTTATCTTGTATGTTTCTCAACTGCCTAATGCATTGATGAGATTCACTTTGGAAGCTTCTGGGACACATTAACACATACTTGGACAAACTTCTACTTGAAAGACATGACACACTTGAGAAACTTATGTCATGTAGAAAACTTTTAAAAGGTTTATAAGAATGTCCTGAGAAAATCTCAGAGAAAAAGATAACCAATATAGGGGTGGAAACTTTTACAATACCTTATGTTTGCATCTATGCTGGAAAATGAAGTCAAACAATGCAAAAAAATTACAAAAACAATACTACATAAATGATAAATATTGTATATCAAAGTTATTAATAGTCCCACTATGGTTCTGGTCTCATTAACACTTCTGATTCTATGATTGGAATGAGCACGGTAGGTCCTTCCGGTCAGGAGCCAGATAGTAAATGACATTTTAGAATTTCAATCTGATTTTTTTTTTTATGTGAAAAAAAAGGTTGGAAGTAACAAAATAAGATAGGAATCATATTTGGACAGCACCTGACGATAGTCCTTCAATATGTATGTGATTTATATGTGATTTTATATTGTCATTTGACTTCTCTTTTTCCCATTTTGTGCAAACTTAAATATTAACTATGTACCTATTGTAGGCGTCAAAAATTGCCTATAGGTCCACGCACGTGGCTTAAGACCGAGAGAAGATGATGAACGTTGCTATCTGAGTCACAAAAAACTCATTTCACGTCGACAAGCGCATGAAGTGAGTCGACGAACTATGTGAAGCAACGGAACTGCAGAACAACAAGGAAACGAACTGATCGGGAGCTCCGCATCACTTACAAAAGACGAAATGCCTTCCATGTCCTATCCACTCCACAGATGATTCAATCATGGGAGCTTGTAGATCTTCTCGACGGCATTCTAACGAATCTTGAATCGCATGATTCCGAGTTCGAACGACAAAGATACGGCAAAAACGGACGGAACGCGTAGGATTACGTCCCAGAACTCGACGAGACACCCAGAGGTGTCTCAGCCAACCCGAGACACCTAAAGGTGTCTCGGCTTGGCCGAGACACCCATTGGTGTCTCGGATTGGCCGAGACACTCACAAGTATCTCGGACCTTGTAGAGTGATTTTAGCCATGATCCGATTCGAATCTGAAGAAACTCAAAACATGAAAGTTGTAGATCTCCTCGTTAGCTTTCCAATGAATCTTAGATCAAGTCATTTGGAGATTATATGAGAAAGATAAAGCCAAAATACCAAAGATAGTATAAACTGCCTCAGAACTCCGAGACAGTGTTGGTGTCTCGAAAAAGAATGACTATTTTGGCCATGATCCGATTCAAATCTGAAGAAACTCAAAACATAAAAGTTATAGATCTCTTTATCAGCTTTCTAATGCATCTGGAATCAGGTCATTTGGAGGTCATATAAGAAAGTTATGACCAAAATACCCGAGACACCTCAAAGTGTCTCGGCTTGGCCGAGACCGGGCACGCCGAGACACTCACAAGTGTTCGCAACCTCCAGAATGCTGTTTTTGCTGTTTTGAAGCCATTTTTCGACCGTTAACCACCTGGATTTGCTCCAACTGATCTGATAATATGGTTACGTGCTTTCAACTGAAGATAAGAGGGAATCGGCCGTTATTATCCAAACACAGGGCTCCTGAAGCCTATAAATACAGCCTCAGGGCCTTCATTTTTTGAGATCTGGAATTCTCAAGCGTTGGCGAAGCCTTGTCGGATTAAGGACTGAAGAGCCACGAATTTCAGAGAGGAGGAGACTTCAGCGGATTCTTCGTCATAAAGAAGAGGAGTTCGTCAGCTCTGCAGCCCGGTTCGTCCCTTAAGATTACCCCGTTGCGGTGATCTTAAGAAGAGCAATTATCTCGCTGTTGCCGAGATAAGCGCTTCGGTTTCTTGATTCCTTCGCGAATCGAAGAAGCTTCAGATCTGATCTGATCGTTTGGTGGTCCACGGATATCAACGTCCCCGTCATAAGTCAAGATCTCACGCAAGCAGAAGACCGATAAACGATCTCTGCGCTGTTTGACGAGAGTTGTATTTTTCTTATTTTCATTGTGTAAGAAAATCTTATAAAAAGACTAATTTTACTTTGAATCTGTAATCGATAAACATGTAATAGATTCAGCAATGAAGATATCAACTTTTACCCCAAACAAGCTGACGATCACAGTGGGAGCCAACAGCTTCGCTGTCGAAACTGTCGTGCCGTATCCAACAATCAAGATCCCCGTGGCTGAAGAAATCGAATACGAGTTTGACCAACAGAAATTTAAAGAGTACGTCTCCTCCTCCTCCAAATCTACCTCGGCTCATAAGTGCAGGAAGGTATCCTCCTCCAGGAAGATCCGTCGGTCTTCAGATCTGAAGACCCAAGAAGTCGATCTCCTCACTATCGCTGCTGCAATTGCACCTTACAATAATCCACCGGCGTCCAATGAAGCCGGATCTGCAGATCTGAACTCCTCCTTGATCAAGGAGTCGGCTGCTGAAAGCGCGCCAATTTTATCAAAGAGAGCACGTCAAAGGCAACGCCAACGCCTCGCGCACCAATTCGTCAAGGCTTTGGATCAGGTGGACGGACTCCGTTACCAAGCAGATTTGAAGTTTAGAAAGCGCCAAGTGGCTAAGTTATTGCCACAACAAGCATCGGGATCCTCCTCCCAACCTCCAATTTACAAATGGGTTCGGATCAAACGAACACGTTCGACTCTCGAGGAGCGCATCCAGAAGCGCCGTGCACTTCTTGCGCATGCCCAGATCCTTATGTACAAGGTACGAGAATTACAGTGGGAAGAGGTGATCAAGAAACCACCAAGAGCTAAGCAGGTTTGGGTGCCGAAAGCAAAAATAATGCCTCTATCCAAGAGACACCAGTCATGTCTCTCATTCGATTCCAGATCCGAGGCTGCTCTCCAGCCTTCGTCAACTTTAGATCCCGCTCCTATTGCTCCCGCACCTCCGGTGAGGTCCTACAACAGCGTGGATCTCTCCAAATCTAGAATTCCATTGAAGCATCTCCTCGGTTCTCTACTCGAATATCGAGGCAAAGTGTCTGTTAAGGAACGCTTGGGACCGTTGAAGGAACCCCGAGCAAACATCCAGACTGGGGGTCGTACGCGACCTCCTAACAAGTTGATTCATGTAACCGCCCGCTTGGGGTGCGTACAGAAGGCCAAGAGCCCGTTAAGGTTTTACCCTTAGAAAAGTATGATTCCAAACGAGTGACTCCTGCAGACGCCAACAAGGCATTGTTTACTCAGAAGAAAACGCGTTAAGCAGACGAACACGTTATACCTGAGAATTCATGTAAACAACCGATAGGTTACTCTGACCGCAACGTCGATGAGTTGTACTATCGGGCTGGGGGTACGAATAAATCTCGAAAGAGAGGTACCCGAAAAGCGGACTCTCACTGTCTGTGTACCAAAATTATCAGGGTAGTATTATCAGTGTGTAGCTGTCCCAGGACCACTCCACAGTTGGTCTCGATATTTGAGAGGTTCTCCACTGAAGCATCAAAAGCCCAAATCGAGACATTTTCGCAAAAAACGATCGGTTGTTCAAGATGACGAACTCCCAACAGTTACTATCAACGTGGTCGATAAGGGAAAATCTCTGATTAGTTCGAATAGCTCCAACCCTAATTTCACTCCAAGAAGAAGAGTCAATTCGGGGATAGCCCAACTAATGTCTCGGCTCCAGTTAGAAGCCGTCGAGCCTGAACAACCCGCAGTCACCACCAACATGGTTGATAAGGGAAAATCGACTCGACCTTCAAGTTCAGACCCCCTTATTTCGCATCGTCTGACTCGGCTACGTGCGGGAACTACTAGACGCAGATGAATATCCTCAGACGATGAAGTGTCAGACGCAGACGCTTGCTCGGCAGTCGCTTCAGAGGCTACTGTATCCAGTCCCGGACAATCCCGTGAAGTGTTTATGATTAACACTGAGAAAATAACCAAAATGGTTGAGGATGCTCTCGCCAAGCAGAAGCAAGCATTCAAAATCGAAATGGAAATGGCTATGCAGAAGATGAGACAAATGTACGACCAACAGATCCGAGCCTTGTTGAATCAAATAGTTGAATCCAGCCGTCGTGATGATGTCAGCCAAGCAGCTAGCAATTCAGATGTGGATGAACACATCAATGCTGATAACCCCCCGTTGACCAAAATGTTGGGGGTGGCCCCACCAATGATGATAACACTGGTGGTAGCCCCAATATTCCTCTCGAAAATCGTCCAAAACATGATACAGACGAGGATGAGAAGATGAAAGACCCCGAGAGCAAAACTAATACTCTAATGTCTGCTCAAAAGGTAAAGAAGACCGACATTCCGTGTCCTTACCCGAGAGAGTGGGATTCGATCCCGTATCCGACGAAGTTCAACCTGATCAACTTCACGCCGTTCGATGGAAAGATCTCGCCCACTCAGCATCTAATCTACTTAAAGTCCCACTTGAGCACGATCTCCGATAATGAAGCTTTGATGGTTCGGTCATTCGTCAGCACCCTTCGCGGGCCAACCTTCGATTGGTACCGTCGTCTCAAGCGTGGAAGCATCAACAACTGGGACGATATGAAAAACTCACTCCTCGGTAACTTCTTTGACGATGACGCCGAGATAT